AACTCCCTCAGAGACCCAAGAAGGAAATAATATAAGCTAACAAAAATAAAAACAGGAAGTGCATGCAAGCAACTTCCAAAAATTTTGTGAGTTGACAGAAACAGCCAGCTGCCTGGACAGTCACCTGAGGTTTCTCCACAGTGTTGGGGCATCATCTTCAGCCTATAGGCTTAGCATATCTGACAGACTCATTTGTGTAGCAGGATGTACACAAGGTCAACAGTTCAACCTCACATTAGGTGAGAGCAGTCCATGTACCAGAAACACCTGAATTTCACTAGTGTCATGTCATGATTCAGGATTTTAAATTCTGGAAATTGTTGACAGTTTTTGAATTCAGCTGTCCATTTTTCTTGGCTGTGTATATATGGCTTCATCTCAGCTCTCTTTCAGGAAAGCTAGGAGCACTGCAGGAGGTAAGATTTTAGCTCTGAGCTCTGACCTCTCGGCTTTCTCTTTTACATTGGTTCTGTGTTTTTTATTTTAATAAGACAGTTGGTTACATCTACACCTGCCCTTGGGACATGGCTCAGGGCTATCCTTAAAACCTGAGATGCATGTAAGCCATGCTGATTTCTTTTCTCACTCATGGGCTGGATGGTGTAGACTGCCTCAGAGACAGAACAGCATTGGACTGTACCTCAGCTTTCCAGGACCCTACAATAAATCTCCCATGCTGTAGTGAGTTTTCTTCCCTAATAAATTCATTCACCCTTTAAGCAGACTCCATGGATTTCTCATATTACCTACCAGAATCCCTTAGTAGCCAGAGTGTCAACAGAGTTCTTAGACTTGGCTCTTGAGGCTGAACTGGCTGGGCACCATTATTTCTTTTAAGGTATCATTTGCTTGTCTTTCTCTATATACATATAAAATTGATATCTTCACCACAGGTGTGTGAATTGCAAGAATTTAGAGCTCAGCAGAAGAGAAATAGGAAATAGAACTGGGAAGGTGACAGCCAAAATGATAAATGGCATTTCAAAGTGAAGTGCTTACTACTGTTGAGGCTTTCACAAGAATCCAGCAATTTCTACATGCTGCTATACTTCACGGTTTCAAAGAAAATATTGATTCAGTCCAGAACCTTAAAATTTCAAAATCTCATTGTAAAGATAAAACAGTCAGCACCCCTAGCAAATATGGAATAATTAGCAGACACATATGACATTGAACAGGTGGTCACTTGTGTTACTCCACAACATTTGTTAGGTTAAGGAAGAGCTGAGAGAAAGGCCCTCCACATGCCCCTTTCTAACCCATCCCGTCTAATCCAACATTCCCTATAGCCTCAAAATTGATCACACCACAAACTTTGTCTTTGGCCCATTCTCTAGCCATGTCCCTGATACACCTCTTTGCTGAGATCATGTGGTCAAGCATGCATTCTATTAAAGCCTGAAACTGCCTCTATGAGCAAGGAGCAGTCTTTGTTCAGAGGATACCACACATAGTGGTGATTAGTCACTCTCAGCAAAAATATATACACAAAGGCAGTCTTGCACAGTTAATGAAAGACATTCAAAAAGGACAAAATGGTTGCTCTGAACTATGTTTAATAAAAGACTAAGGCTATAAGAATACACAACAAAATGACATACCATCATGATTAACACATTGAAATAGGAAGCAAGAAAATTGTTTAATTCTCCACTGGAAATGAGACTTTTAAACTTCACTGACAGCGCATTAGCTCTAGAGAGCAGAGATAGTGAGACTGAGAACTCAAGAGGAGAAAGAATCAACAGTAGGTGTTAGTTACTGGAGCCTTGAAGAATGGCGAAAATGCAAAGTGAAAACCTCTCAGAGGGTGGAGCCTGCAGAACACTATTTTATTTCCATTTTTGCTGCTGTTGCTTTTTTGTTTTTAATTTCATAAAAGGAAGGACTAGAGTTCAGGAAGAGAAGGGCAGTTTTATGAGTCATAGGGGACTTCCTTACAAGGGCTGAGATTTTCTGGGCAGTCTTTTCATAATCTAATCAGAAGCCCCCACTTCCCTATACTAAGGAAATACCCAGCAACTTACGTTTTACAATATGAAGCTATCTGCACTGTGGAAGAGAATGGAGGCTTTTTCTCATGGCTGGTGAGCCTGGGAGCCCTTCCAGAATAGGGGCTAGGACTTAAATCATAAAAACCACATTATCCATATCTCTGAGAGAGGCAGAGGTAACAAAAGGGAAACAGCAATAATGTAGAAGCCAGACCCCACCTGCCTGGTCATGGTGAACTGCAAGCTACTGTGTATC